AATGCAGCTGATTCATGGAAGTCACGTCATCGTTTATAAATTTAATGTTTCGTCCATGAATAAAGAAGACACGATCTTTAGCTGCAAATTCACGAATAATTGCGGAACATCATTTTGCGGATTTTCACCTAAACTACCACAGCAAATGGTAAATCCATTGTATGGGGATTCGTGTAGCTGTTCAATTTTAAGCATATCATCTCGATTCTTATATATTCTTGGTAAGCCAAACAATTCACGTGGTGGGTCGTCAGGGTGCATAGCCATTCGAACATCGTATTTTTCGCAAACAGGAATAATTGCATCTAAGAAATATTTTAGATTGGCTGTTAATTTTTCAGTATCGACATCTTTATACGCTGTCATCAGACGTTTAATCTCAGCCATACGTTCAGGTTCCCATCCAGCTTGGACATAACCGTTTGAATTTTTTTGCATTGCATCCGCAATACTTTGCGGATCATCGGTAAGGTATTTTTGCTCAAAAGCCATTGCCGTTGAACCATCAGGTAAAAGATAATGTAAGTCAGTTCTAACCAATCGAAGACAGGCATGAAGTTGTAACAAATAACCTTAACACCATATTCGGCTAAATTACGGATTGTTTCAATATAGTTTTCAATGTACTGGTCTCTGGTTGGCAGACCAATTTTGATATCATCGTGAATGTTAACAGATTCAATCACTTCAAGCTTTAAGCCAGCTGCTTCGACCTCATCTTTTAGGTGTTTGATTTGGTCCTTCGGCCAAACCTCGCCGGCTGGTATGTCAAACAGAGTACCAACAACTTGAGAAACGCCAGGAATCTGCCGAATATCTGATAGGGTGATGGAATCGTTATTATCGCCGTACCAGCGAAATCCCATGTTTTTCATAATTAAACTTCTTTCTTTAATTTGTCTTGTTATTTTTTGTTTTTAACTGTTTCATGCAGCGTCTTGCGAACAGCATGTTTGCCAGCAATTAACTGTTTAAAGTAGTCTTCGACTTTATTGCCAAGCCCAATTTGATACAAATCATTGCCAAAAATACTCTTGTTAGCCAAAATTGGCTTAAGGGCTTGATGAATTTTAGCTTGATCATCGTCATTTAAGTTGATTCCTGCCACATATGACTTAAGGTCATCTAGTAGTGGATCAGGGCTTTGAGTAAATCGTTGCCATTATCATCTATTCCCATTAAACTAGCGACACCATCCT